TCCCCCCCACTTTCCGCCACTGTCTCTCATTCTTCTCTCAAAAAACAACCGCAATGCGCGTGAATTGCTCACAGCCCCGGACGGTCCTTGCCTTCCTCGCCCTCGCCGCCGCCGCCCTCGCCGCCGCCACCACCGCCACCACCCACACCTGCTTGGCCTCACCCACCACCGCCATGCAGGACCTGTCTGTCGTGGGTACGCACGCCTCCCAACCCCCCAACCCCCTCCCCCCCTCCCCCCCCCAACCCCAACCCCCCGCCCACACCTGCCCATTCACCCCTCCGCCACCCCCGCAACCCCCCCCCCCGCCACAGACTACGGCAACTGCTACACCATCGCCGCCTCGCGGGCCGAACTCAACGCTCTGCCCAACAGCCCGCAGCTCAATTGCGCGGCCAAGACCATGCCCACTCAGTCCAAGGCCGACTGGGAGGCATCGAAGCCGGCCGGCTCGGCCAAGCTCTGCCACTACAACGAGGTCGAGTGGGCACCGCGCGAGGCTGTCTTCCCGGCCTGCCCGCACCTCTCCGGCCAGGCCAACTGTCGCTTCCGTAAGGACGGTGACAAGATTGTCGACTACAACGACGTGGTGCAGGAGTGGATCTGCTCCATGGGGCACTCGCTCGCCATGTCCCCGTCGTCAAAGTGCTTCGCCTTTATCCGCAACGCCCTCTGTGCACGCTTCGACTCGTACGCCATGGAGAGCGGCTTTGCCTTCTTTGATCTGCAGCCGAGCGGCGGTATGGCCCATCTCGAGCGGCTCTCCATCTGCTCCGAAGGAGACGTCTGCCAGTTCCTCAACGACGAGTGCTCCTCCCGCGGCAACGACGTCGACAAGATCGCCCCGTTCGACATGTGCGGCAAGTCCCGTTGCCGTTCCGACATGAACTGCCGCAACTGGCTGTTTGCGCCTGACCACGCCTCGTGCGTCGAGACAAAGGCCCTCGACGAGGAGCCCGTCTACGCCTGCGTCGCCGTCAAGGACCCGTGCACGTCTGCAAACTGCCCGGGCGTCTGCGCTGCCATCACAGAGGCCGCCCCGCCGCCGTACGTCACCGGCTCAACTGGTGACTCGTCATCGTCGTCCGGCGCCGCCACCTCCTCGCCCCACCGTAGCCCGGCCCCGCACCACTCCTCCCACACCTCGGGCGGCACCGTCTTCCTCATCATCCTCGCCGTCATCTTTGGCACCTTTTTCCTCTACTGTGCCGTCGGCATCGCCTACAACCGCTTTTCTCGCGGTGCCGTCGGCGTCGACCAGCTGCCCAACGCAAACCTCTGGACCGCCATCGCCGCCTCCCTCTCCGGCCTCGTCGCCCGTCTCCGCCCTGGCCGCTCGTCCTCGGCCGGCTTCTCCCAGCTCTCGCTCGATCCGCCCGAGTACGACTTTGACGCCTAATCGCGCACCAGCGCAGACCTTCCTGCCACCCCCTCCTCCCCCCCCTCTCACACACACCCCTACACACACCCAAACCCCAAACTCGAAATCCTCCCCCCCCCTGCCCCTCAGCCCACCACCCGCCGCCCGCCGCCCCGCCGGCCACCGGCCGGCCATCGAGCAGCCAGCGACAGAGACTTCCTCGCTCGCCACCACCCAACCCAATAACCATGGCGAACGACGGCAAGATCGAGGAGATCAACTCCAACTCGGGCTCCGGCTCCGAGGAGATGGTACGTACACCCTCTGCAACCTCCCACTGCCGCCAGCAGGCCAGCCCCGCCCCCTCTGGCCTCCTTTGCTGTCCCCTCCGGCTGGCACCATTATTTTGTGTGGGATGGCCGGCCGCATCCACGCCACCACGACCTTGTCCCCCCCACCCACGCCCGCCTCCCGCAGCCCCACCGCCGCCTCCCGCCCCTCCGTCCTTCCCGCACGCCCT